GAGGATTAGGGATTAGGCGTGCTACACTACTTTTGGGATGGGGATTGCTGTCGGGGGTGAGGATGGGGATGGGATCCCTGTCTGAGGGATGGGGATTGCAACCTTGACCAAGGAGGGGATTGGGAGCCCTGGCCAGGGATGGGGATGGGACCCTGGTCGACAGGACGGGGATTGCAGGCTTTCGCAAGTTTAGGATGAGGTCGCTGCCATAGGATTGGGAACACAGTTGGAGGATTAGAATTGGGTGTTCTGCTGTAAAATGAGGCTGCAGGTGCAGAACTTGGAATACTGACAGGACTGCAAAACAGGCCAAGGATGGATGGTTTAGTTCTCCATAGTTGCTTACATGGAAACTCAAACAAACACAAGGAGGTTCTGCTTGCAAGTCGCGTCCCATAGCAAACCAAACTCAAACACAAGGAAGTTCTGCTTGCAAGTTGCGTCCCATAGCAAACCAAACTCAAACACAAGGAAGTTCTGCTTGCAAGTCGCGTCCCATAGCAAACCAAACACAAACACAAGGAAGTCCTGCTTGCAAGTCACGTCCCATTGCTAACCAAACTCAAACACAAGGAAGTTCTGATTACAAGTCGCGTCCCATAGCTAACCAAACTCAAACACAAGGAAGTTCTGCTTATAAGTCGCGTCCCATAGCAAACCAAACTCAAACACAAGGAAGTTCTGCTTGCAAGTCGCGTCCCATAGCTAACCAAACTCAAACACAAGGAAGTCCTGCTTGCAAGTCGCTTCCCATAGCTAACCAAACTCAAACACAAGGAAGTCCTGCTTATAAGTCGCGTCCCATAGCTAACCAAACTCAAACACAAGGAAGTCCTGCTTGCAAGTCGCGTCCCATAGCAAACCAAACTCAAACACAAGGAAGTTCTGCTTATAAGTCGCGTCCCATAGCTAACCAAACTCAAACACAAGGAAGTCCTGCTCCGGCATCGGCCGACTGCCCGATGGGGTCCATCCCAAGCGTTTCCACGATGACTTCGGCCATGTCCCTGGCGAAGCCCAACCC